ATTTCTTGCTTTCTACCGCAGTGCCGCTCTCATTGACAGTAACTCATTGTGAAACTCGGAGCATCGTGGGTGAAACGAAACGTCATAACGGAAACGTTCATGCATGCGCTGTATCCTCCGCCTCCTCTTCCCCCATGACCGAGGCTGCAGCTGTGGTGAGCTCCTCATAGGAATAGCCAACCTCGTCCAACACCTATGAGATGGAGTTCCAAACGCGGCAAGGATTCAAGTTGCGACCTCGAGGAACTCAGTAAGGAGTTCTGCTTCTTCTGCGGCCAAACTCGCCTTGTTCTTGAGAATCATTAGCCATCTCTCACATGCTCGAAGGAACACTGAACTGACCTACGAGTGAACCGGTATGGACCGAATCAGAAGTCTCTATCAGCGCAGCAGCTTTTGGCTACTTGATAAGATAAGCTGTGGCCCTCTCCTCCCTCCAGATCCAGGGAGAACACTGCCAACAACAGCTCGGGAATGCGATCGATCGGGATCTCCCAAACGCTGTCTCGAGCGGCTGCAGAAGCCGGGTCCAGTATAGCGGCCGCTGACGAGTTCAGAGTAACCTGACTTGGCGGATGCTGACGGATACTGGATCCCCATGACTGACCTCGTGGCTCCTGGCAAGAGCGAAGGCTTCAGCTGCTGCAACGCAGAGCTCCAGTACTACTGCCGATGCTGGTTTGACCTCTCGCTCTGGGTCGAGGAGGCGAGCTATGTTACCAAGAAGACTCTGAGTCACGGCTAGAGTGCGCGAATGCTCAGAAGGGTAGACCAACGACGACTCACACTGCTGATTTCCTCCGCCCATCTCCCTTCGTATCTTGAGCATTTGGAGGGCCTCATTCCTCGTATCACGAGACTGGGCTGTTTGAAAGCATCCAGTTGGCGTACTACCAGAGGGTTCAACCAGGAGCAGAGCTCTGAGGAAGACCAGGGCATTCAAACCGCCCAAAACGACGAGCCCTGACCTATGTGCAGATCTTGCTTCAAAGCATGACCATACATGACGCCAATCACGAAGCTCTCAAGGTCGGCGCCGTCCTTATCAAAATACATGCTTTTCCGATGCTGTAATGCCGCTTTGGCGACTCGATTGGCAAGAGAGGCACTTCTGCAGCAGCGAGCCACTCGAAGGAGAATACATGGGGTCCACTCTTGCACGTCTTTGCCTCCTAGCCAGTTCCCCAACGCTTCCTCTATTGTGGCCTCGTAGGCTAAGGAGATCTCTTCCATGCTCAAGCCC